CGGTTCCAGAGCAGTCCCGAGATGAGGGAACAGTGCAGTAAGTTAACAAAGGGCTGACCGACCAAACAGAGGAGACACACCCGAAATGGGCGGGGCGTACTTGAGATGGGCGGCGCTTCCCGTGTCACTGAAAAACACCATAACTTGGCTACAAAGCAGCTCGGAGACGGGAAAAAGTGGAATAAGGTTAGCACTGGGTTGGCACACCAAATGGAGGAGACACACCCGAAATGGGCGGGGCGTACTTGAGATGGGCGGCGCTTCCCACAAAGGTCGGTAACTCGGTTCCCGAAAATGTTTAGAGATCGCAGAAAAGTCCATGACGAAGATGAACGTCTGGCAAGAGTCCACCATGTTTGCGGCGTGCTGAGGCCCGCCCACAGTGGGCGGGGCGTGCATTTGAGCACGAGGAACAGTATAAAAAGTCGTAGTTTGGTCCTAAAGCACTGCAGATGGTGCCAAAAAGTGGTCCCCAAGTGATCAAATGTAAGAATGTGCGAGGCACTCCCGTTGTGGGCGGAGCCTGCACCGAGGTGGGCGGAGCCAAATTTGGAAAAATTCGCAAAACGGCTCCAGGCGCGATAGTTTATGAGTTGAGAAGCGCGAGGCATACGTTGTGGGCGGAGCGTGCCCCGAGGTGGGTGGAGCCAAATTTAAAAAATTCGCAAAACGGTTCCAGAGCACTCCAGACACCGGGGAAAAAGTAGTTTAAGATCAGCGAGGGGTTATTAGTTGAGAAGCGCGAGGCATACGTTGTGGGCGGGGCGTGCGTCTAAGGTGGGCGGGGTCGGTCCTAAAAATTCTTCAAACGGTTCCAGAGCACTCCTGGCACTGCAGACCTCCTCTGTGACCCGGCCTTGCAAGGCATGGCTCCATCGCGCCTACCTGGATTCGCATGATCAAATGCTCGACTAATACCCGGCTTTCTCTCCACTCGCTCCTTACCACCATTCCATACACCGTAATAGTGTTGAAAATGTGGAATATGACATGCTATTGGTCAAAAAATGTTGACCATCTGTTCAAATGAAAGAAAAGCCGGATACTAGGTGCATGGAAGAAGGTAAGCGCGGCGGAGCCGCGCCCGCTCGGCGAAATCGTGCTGTATATCAGAAAGAGGCGCGCCGGCTGGTCTGAAAATATCTGAAGAATACTGAGCTTAGTCAGCGAGAGATGCGAGCTCGAGCCCACCCCAGGATCTAACCCTTGCAGATAACTCAACATTCTCATTATAAGTGATGGCTCGAGTTTTTTTTTGGAGCGTTGTGACCCCAGACCATGCAAGTAACACATTGTAGGAAATCTGCGGCTGCTTTATGGGTCCACCTTCGAAGAAGTGTCTCATGGCGGTGTCTCTATCACTCAAAATGACTTTCACATACAGTAACTGCAAAAACTTCCCGGTCATTTATAAAATCAAGGGCCATCAAAAGAGAAGATGATAACAACTACTCCGTACCCAATAAGGACACATTGCGCGGTTATCCATTGGAAAATCGCTTCTTGAGGAAGACCCAGAAGGGGGTCGTATATTGGAGCCGCTAGGGTTCTACTTGTCCTCAAGGCGAATATTTCCAGTTGTTGATTTTCTTGGTTTCCCCGCCCTACATCCCCATTTCCCCATCAGTTAAACAGCCCACCACAAGTTATGCCAAGAAAAATAACCACATATTTCTTACTGGAAGCTTAGTAATTTGCCAGCAAAATTATTGATTAGATTTTTAACTTTGGGATAAAGTATGTAATGTATTTAACCCGGATGAATGTTGCCTTACCAAATTTGAATCTAATATATTCTTCAACAT